TTGTATCCTTATGATTTATATTGATATTGATTGTTTCCCGATTGCTTATTTGTACCCTATGACCTTATGATTCTTGATGAATGTATCTTGTCTTTTTATGTACACTGGGAGCATATACACCAAAGGCAAATTCCTTGTGTGTCCAATCACACTTAGCCAATAAAGAATTCAAAAGAGTTTATAGCTACCTGTAGCTATTGGGTTTACTCATAGATTCTATCATATTGTCTGGTTAAGACGAACATTGCTCAAAACCTTTAAGAATTAAGAAAGCCTAAAAGCCCAATGGACACCCATAAGTCTCCTTATCTATGTCGGTACATTGGCCCATTTTCTACCTGCTAATGTCACTCTTGGAGCATCCAGTAATGCAGCTTTGAAAGAAACCATTTTAGTGACAAAAATTCTACCATCCTAAATCTGTCTGGCTTACGCTGAACAAATAACACTAAAATAATTTGGCATGTTTCACTGGAAGAAAGAAATCTAACCCTAAAACAGTGATTCTTTGTGAGGTTGGGGAACTCCACTTTGGAAAAACTGAAAATGAGGGACTGAATCGGGCTGCTTGCATGGAGCAGAAGATCTGAAAGTCCCTAACCATCCAGCATTTCTGCTCCTTCCTCATGTGTTAAGTTTCCCCTGTTGCAAAGAATGGAAGAAACAGGATTAAAAATAGGACAGCAAGATTGGATTAGGTAACGTGAATGCTTCTCATCCATATCTGTCATTCTGGAGATCTGCTGTCAACAAGGCATGATGAAATCTGAGTTCCTCAAGATAAAGTTATAGATAGATGTTCCATTCTGGAAATTTCAAGTTGTACTTGGAAATTCTATTGCTGTGCTTAAAATTAGTTACAAACCCCAAACTTTTAATGACCTCTTTTCTAAATAGTAGTCCTTCATTTGTTCCAACTGAATTTCTACTGCTCTGTCTGCCCATGATTACAATTTTATGCAACATGTTCTTAAAACTTAAGATATCTTTCCACTGATATGTGGAAATGATCCAGAATTTTCAAATGTAACTAAGCAGCCAGAGATGAATTGAAGCACATTTCTCCCCTAAATCCAGGGGTGGGATTCAGCTGGTTCGGGCAAACAAGATGCTAATTTTACATCTGGTTCACCAAATCGGTAGTTGCAAA